CTTGTCCCGCCGACCCCAACCACCTAGTCTACATCGCCCCACATGGCTCAAACCAGCAGTCAGAGACCTCATGCTTTGGTGCCATGTTTTAGTCTGGCCACCTCGGGCCTTTTTCCAGCCTGGACTCACCTCAGCCAACATTGTGTGACGAGGCGATCGGTGACTAGGCATATGTAGTACGTGTCCCAACCATCTCAGTCGATGAAGGTTCATAACCTCGTCAACTGATTTACTTCTACTCCCTAAAACTCTACACCTGACTTCTGCATTACTCACGTGGTGACACCACGGAATAAGGTCTATACTACGAAGGCAACGGTGGTCAAACACCTGTAACCTTCTCATGTCTTTCTCCAGCTTCAATGGCCATGTTTCACAGCCATACAGTAGAACAGAGCGGACTGCTGTGCAGTACACGCGACCCTTAATAGACAAACGGATATCACGGCGGCGCCATAGGTGACGTAAATTGGCAAAGCCAATCGAGCCTCTTGTATCCGTGCATAGATCTCATCGGCAACTAACCCACCAGGGTTGATCCTACTTCCCAGGTACGTAAAGTGGTCAACACACTCAACCACTTCACTCTCTATTGTTAGCCGCGGTACCGCTGAAGACCAATCCTGGAGCAAAACTTTGCATTTGGGTGGTGAAAATCGCATCCCAAACATTCTCAAATCCCCACTCAAGGTGTTCAGAAGACTCCGGATGATATCACCTAGACTGTCCAACCATCCACTTTAGTTGCAGACGAACCCCAATCACGATGCAGGCATGTAACTCAGGATAACAATAAGACAGTTTATGGGTTGAGGTGACTTTTAAGTATGAGCACTTAGTTGTTTCTTCAATATGACTTTACTTCAGCTAACGTGACTAGTTAAATGGTCCTATGTACCCATTTTACCTTCACGTATTTTTCGTAAATCTAATAAGTGAAATTCCAGATTTCGTTTCAAAGACTCAGGTATCAGTTGTAAGTGTGGATATGTGCTCTCGAAATACAAGTATGTGATAGTTATAGTTCAACAAACCGAAAAACTTTCCAATGAAGTGCGTTTTCAAAAGATGAGAATTTCTGAAAATAAGTATTT